AAAGAACAAACATCATCGCCGACAAGCGCAGATGGAAACTCCGAGCTAGAAAGTTCGTCGGAGGAAATGGTAGTCCCGACAACAAAATCAAAACGAAGCGATTTGCTTTCCTATCTGCAACCTCAAAATCAAACAAGCAGCACAAATCCCACTGCAGACGCAATTATTGACGTAAGGCAGTATGTTGAGAAGCCCATCATACCCAGGTCAAGTTATCCTATAGAGTACTGGTCATTCAGTCAAAGTAATCTGAAGCATATTGCATTAAAATATCTATGTGTTCCCGGAAGCTCAACGCCTGCGGAAAGAATATTTTCGAAGGCAGGTCAAATTATAACTGAGCGCCGTAATCGTTTATCGGGCGACCACATAAACGAACTACTTTTTATAAATATAAACAACAAAATTTTCAAAAAGTAATTACATTTATTATATAAAATATTCAATTTCAATTTCTGTTCTACAAGTTCTACAAAGTATTTTGTAAGCCACTTTATGTTGAAAATTATGTGTAAATCAAAATGCTAGATTAGTGATTAAAACAGTTTGATTAAGCCTACTTCGTGCGTTTCTTGATTTATTGTGAATAATTATATTTTCTTAAGAATCACATCTCAGATTTTTTCAATGCCTGTCTAAAGCCCAGTCTGTGAGCACGTAGAACTTTGTCCAATGACCCAAAGCTACCCATCCTTATCGCTCGCGCGTAATTATATTGCTGTCGCGACTGTGCGACGGGCGTCTGCAGTGAGTGTTCGAGCGCGACAGCAATATAATTACGCGCGAGCGATAAGGATGAGTAGCTTGGAGTCATTGGACAAAATTTTACAAAGTCAAAGTCAAAATTTCTAAGTTCCTTGGCAAAAAAAAAATTGGGAAACCCTGGTTTAGACTAATAAATAGTTCTTACAAATCGTCATTTTGCTCTTAAGGAGCCTCTACATGTCTCATAATCTTTTTACCCTACAACGCTTTTTATGCCGCAACAAACTCACAAACTCAGTCACCACTGTCTGCTGGTTAATATAAATAAATAGAAATAGTAGTGGTAGGTACATTCGATTCAGGAGCAGTTCACTGAATTTACCATGCATTTTTGTATGGTGTATCTTATAAGAATGGGTATACAAGATTGCGTGGTATATTAAACAAGGTAGTGACGTGCTAACTGCTAATATCTAGACTTACATATTAAGATACTAGTAGAAATGACTCGCATACACATATTTGAATAACTTGGATTGACCAGTCCCCGAAAGCAGCGCCTGACCCTGTTCACAGACATGACGAGTGAACCAGCCATCGCTTCACTCGACCATATTAGAGGGAATGTAACGACCCGCCTCACTACGCCACCACCCCAGAAACATTTTAGTGAGAATGACAATTCCAAGTGCGCGCTTACAGACCAGACTATACACATTTTTATTGTCTTTAACTTTTAATCACTAAAACTGATCTGAGTGGGGTTTAGTGATTAAAACTAAAAGACTGTACAAACATGTTTCATTTTTTAATAATTGGTTTCATTTAGAAGTAATCACAATCAATCAAATTAAGGCGCTAGTGCGTGCACGATGGGCCCTTAATCTGATTGATATTTTTCTATTACTTTTAAAATTTCAGTCATTACTCTAATTTTTTTAGAGGGCGGGAGGTTTTTAATTTCTTCAGCTACTATGTTTCCAAAATGATAGTGAACAGTTGATTTGTTATGCACGTCTTTTGTTTCATCATGCATAGTTTGAACGCCAATATCCACGTTATTGTCTTGGATTTCATCCTCATTTTCGCTGCTATTAAAATCCTTTTGAGCATCGTGTGTGCATTTTTCGGTACATTGATGTAGTTTGATTGGTTTGGTTCTAGAATATTCAGTTCCAGTTGTACATCTAGTTGATAAGCCGGTTAAATTTGATTTTTGTGTACTACTAGTTCTGCTCTTTGTATAGCTGTCAAACAAATCTTCGGTTTCAGTTTGGCTTTCAGGAATCATGGTTTTTGGTTTACCTAGAAAAAATTAAGACAAATAAAGATAAATCTTTTCTACTTGTTTATTTTCATTACAACACCTTTAGTGTAAGTAAGCATTAACTTGTACGTGCAAAATTACTTTTCATTACTCATACTCGGAAAGTAGGTCTGAAGTTGCCTGAGGAGCGGGTTGATTAGCAATACTTTTCAGCCCTAAGGTCCAGAACACACGGTGAAACGCAATTGCAACGAAACTACAACTTCTAGTTACTTTTGAGTTGCATCTAAGTTTCTGCCATAGATTCCGTTGAGAGACCACACATGACGCGACCATTTCAAACCGGTTTCAAACTGGTCGCGTCATGTGTGGTCTCTCAGCGGAATCTATGGCAGAAACTTAGATGCAACTCAAAAGTAACTAGAAGTTGTATTATAGTTTCGTTGCAATTGCATTTAACCGTGTGTTCTGGGCCTAAGGAGAATCGTTTTCAACTGACAGCTGTCAAATTATAAAACAAAAACTAGTTCTATTTTCACATTTCTATTGAACCATGTTCCAACTTTCTGTACAGCCAGTTAATTTCACCATAAACTTTAAATAAATATCATGTCACTGAAGTTGTTGATTTAAAAAAGTAAAATAAAGTTCAGAAGCAAGTCTCCCTCAATCTATCGTATTATTATTAGGTTACTCCTATCTAGGAGTAACCTAATAATAATACGATACGAGAGTCAGCTTATAACCCCATTTACCTAACACCCTGTATAGATAGGATAGCATTAAAACAGCAAGTTATGAGTATAATTTATCTTTATTAACCTTTTGAGCGCCACGGTCTTTTAAAGAAGACAATAATCTACACAACATTTTCTTTGTTAAAAGTAGGTAGGTACATTTAACAAATCAGCAACCACATTCGTGTCATCCAATATTTTCGGAACCTTGCTTCGATATTCTGCGCACTGTACTTTCAGACACACCTAGAACAACAAAAATAAAATAGGTAAATAGAGTAAGTAAAAATCATCACCCACATTCGTGAATTAGTGTCATTTCAGTATTTTCGGAACCTTTGCTTCGCTATTATTCGCACTGTACTTTCAGACACACTTATAACAACAAATAAAATTTACTGGAGTAAAATAAGCCCACTTTCTGTTTACAACTTTAACAAAAGTGGGTTTGAGATATATTAGATAATTCATTATACAAAGTTATAAACAATTTACTTCACTTCAATGAGAATGTCACAATAATTTATAACGATCATGACAATATGATCTTTAGTCGCACTAAATCACCACAACATTAACCAAATTTTTTATTTGTAAAATATAACCTTTAAAATTAAATAATCAGCTGATTGAGCATAATAATATTTATGATTTAGTAATTATTCCATCACTTACTCACCAGTTTGATCTGCTGTACTTTGGTAAATATCCTCCAGATTAGTTATCAAAGATCCGACTTGAAGTTTTGCCAAACATCACAAGTTAACCTTATAATATTGTATCACGAGAACCGCCATGGATGCACTTAATCATGATGATTCGTCATTACAATGTTTACCAATCACTTAATCACACACATATAGATATAATCAGTGTTGCTAGAAATAAAGTGGTTTAGGTCCGAAATAATTAATTTCTACTCTTTTAAGTCGCACTGTACTTACCTTTGTATGCCATTTCAAAAGGCTTTGTGTCTTTTTCAGGTCGGTATCGGTAACAATATTTTTTCTTTTTTAAATATGTCGGCCCCTAATGTTTCTCGTTGAATTACATTACTGTTAAAACATACCCAATACTATTGCAAATTTACAGACTATCGATAGTCTTAAATAATCGATACTATCGATAGTATCGATACTATCAATAGTTTTTTTATTTACTAGCAACAATACTATCGATAGTATCGATACTATCGATAGTTTATTCTTCGCGAGCAGCAATACTATCAATAGTATCGATAGTATTGCGCTCATCCAATAGTATTGCCTTGTTTTGGCCTATCGATAGTATCGATAGTATCGATATTATCGATACTATCGATAGGCCTATCGATGGAGAAGGCTTTTTCGAATGAAAACTATCGATAGTTTTACTATCGATAGTTCGGCAACACTAATTTTCACTCATACCATAGAATAATAATAAATANTCCACTGCTGGACAAAGGTCTCCCCTAAGAATTTCCACAAAGACCGGTCTGCGCTGCTCGCATCCAGGCACCTCCCGCGACCTTCACCAGATCGTCGGTCTACCTAGTGGGAGGCCTGCCTACGCTACGTCTTCCGGCTCGTGGTATACTCGGTACCGAAAGCTTACCGAGCACCTATATTTTAATGGAGCGAAATCATGATTGAATCCCTGACCCCCTGACTCACCCAGCAGGCTCAATGTCAGCGCAGAGAGCGTGTNTTCTGAAACTTGACTGAATGACTGGAGCGGGACTCTGGCTTCGCTCGCTCGGCTGGTGCGTTGTGGTCACAGTTCTAACCTAACCTAAACCAATAATTATGAATAGCACCGATTCGTTTCTGGAACTTGACTGAATGACTGGAGCGGGACTCAAGTATACGTGCTAATTCTAATGCCAACAAACTTGAACTTTAAGTTTAATATATCGTCAAAGAAAGAAATCTAAACAAAAAAGATATTACTTTGAATAATAGTGTAAAATATGGTTATGTTTAGAAAATCTAGGAGAACAAATAAAAGTATAATAGATGTTTATTGCTAATGACATTATGAAGTTGAATGATTCGGAATTATGAACATTAGAGACAGAGTAGTTAGGAATTGTGATTGTTAGGATGAAAAATTTTAGGAAGAACATTTTCGGACTTCCAATTTTCGGAGTTGAAAATTTAGGTGAACTTTGGCGCACCCGGCTCTGAGAGCGTCGGGCCCGCCGCACGACCGTGCGGTAGACCTACCAACCCGTGCCGCAGCACGAGTGTCACGCGGGCTCACCCTGGGAAACTAGTCCCTATTGCTGCGGCAATAAGAGCTACACTAACCTGTAGTAGCTCTCAAGGCGTCGGGCCCGCCGCACGCGCCGCAGCGCTTGGCGGCTAAAGCTGCGTCCCGCACCGCCTGCCAGCCCGCGCCGCAGCACGAGAATATCACGCGGTGGCTTTGCCTGCGAAAACGTGCACTATTATGCTAAGAACTTACGGCGCGATTTTTACCCGCACCCGCGGCGGTTGTGGAATGAGGGCTATCGTTTTTATTATTATTATTACAAGCTTTATATTGACTTCACTTGTAGGTATGTTTGGGACAAATCTTGCAACTGAATTTAAGACCAGTTCTCCTCAACCGATTGAGATGACAATGCAATGTTATGGTACCATTGAGCTGGTTTGATGATGGAGTCAGGAGGTAGCCATAGGAACTCGTAAACGAAACGGCGGAAACGTATAGAGTTTGTGTTCGTTGAATTCCTCTTCCCGAGCACTTTGGTGCTAAATGATGACCAGGGCTCTGAGATTGAGATACAACTAAAAAGTGTAAAATAAAATTAGTTGGTGTCACTGTCTTCGCTACTAGCAAGTGACAGGATATTACTCAACAGTGGCGCTAACTGGTGAGCGCTAAAACGATAGCCCTCATTGCGGTTTTATTTCAAAACTCATGGGAACGGTTATTTGGGCGGTTATTCTAAAAAAATCGCGCCGCGCGCTAAGTCACTGGTACAAAATGGTCGCCGAGGCTGCGGTTACCGCGGTCCACGCGATTCTACTAGTCGACCGCCGGTGCCGCGTGAACGTCTCATAAAAAGATTATGAGACATGTAGAGGCTCCTTAAGAGCAAAATGACGATTTGTAAGAACTATTTATTAGTCTAAACAAATAAAGAAATTTTGACTTTGACTTTGAACCCGCATACAACCGCGCCCGCTGCGGGTGAAAACCGCGTCGTGAGTTGTGCATTAGTTTTTACATAAGTATCTGCATTCTACAGAAGCTGCGGGCCCGAAACCGCCGCGGGTGCGGGTGCGGGTGAAAATCGCGCCATAACTCCTTAGCCTTACTATGGGAATAAAAATATGTTTATTCTACATAAAAACATACATACACACACACTCGAAAAACATAACCCTCCTTCTGACGCAGTCGGATAATAAAAAAAGACAAACTTGCCCGCTCGTTGTAGGCGGCGCGCGCACGGACTGGCGCCAGGCGGACGGCGCCTTCATGGCGGCGTCGATGGCCGCGCGAGCATTCGCCGCTAAACGCTCGCTCTCACCCGCACGCACGTAGTCCGTGATGAACGCGCGCAGCGAGCATTCGCCGCCCCTGTGAAAACGAAACATTCAGGTCCAGTTGCACCACCTAACTTTAACGGTAACTATAACGACAAGTGCTTTTAGTATGGTGTTTGACAGATTTTTGACATTTGTCAAAGTAAAATTAGAATGGTGAACTTCGAAGTTGCGCTTGCAAAATAAATCGGCGAGTGACGTCACGCCACTAACGGATTAAGCCGTTTTTTGACTTGTCGGCGCGGCAGCAGCAAGACATCTGCACACTCAGTATTTTTCGTTCGTTCGTTCGAAAAAGTTCATTTCAGCCGAAAGACATCCACTGCTGGACAAAGGTCTCCCCTAAGAATTTCCACAAAGACCGGTCTGCGCTGCTCGCATCCAGGCACCTCCCGCGACCTTCACCAGATCGTCGGTCTACCTAGTGGGAGGCCTGCCTACGCTACGTCTTCCGGCTCGTGGTATACTCGGTACCGAAAGCTTACCGAGCACCTATATTTTAATGGAGCGAAATCATGATTGAATCCCTGACCCCCTGACTCACCCAGCAGGCTCAATGTCAGCGCAGAGAGCGTGTAGATGTGGTAACACAGCGTGTAGATGCGCAGGATCAGGCCGGCACACTAGAGGATAGCGCTGTCACGGGACAATGGTCCCTATCACAAGTACATAAGGCTCACCCGGCGGGCTCGATGTCGGCACAGAGAGCGTGTAGATGTGGTAATACGGCGTGTAGATGCGCTGGGTCGGGCCAGCACACTAAAGCCTGGTCCGTGAGCACGTAGAATTTTGTCCAATGACCCCAAGCTACCCATCCTTATCGCTCGCGCGTAATTATTTTGCTTTAGCTGGTAGCGCTGTCACGGGAGAATGGACTTTATCATAAGTTCACGAGACTCACCCAGCGGGCTCGATGTCAGCGCAGAGTGCGTGTAGATGTGGTAACACAGCGTGTAGATGCGCAGGATCAGGCCGGCACACTAGCGGATACCGCTGACGTCGCGCGCCACTAGCGGCTGCCGGGGCCGCGCCTACTGGAATAACAGTAAAAGACAATTAAACCTCTGACATAGTAAGAGAGATTAGTAAGCTGAAGTGGCAATGGCAAGGCACACAGCACGCAGAACTGCTGACGGCCGATGAGGCAACTAGACTTCCACCTTCATCCCAGAAGAAATGGCACCCGGCACGGTATCCATTACTTTGCAAGCGTAGCGCAGGATATCCGCCCACACGGTGGACAGCTGACTTCATAAAGGAAGGCAAGGCACTATACATATTCCGCTTCCATTGCAGCAGGTTAATCTGGAAATCATTAGGAGAAGCTTATTCAGCAATGAAGGTCCTGTGGCTGAAATGATGGGGATGATAAATTAACGCAACTTCTCTTGATAAGCGAAAAGCGAACAAAGCGCCATTTAGGAGTCACTTTACTGACGCTAGCAGTGTGTATAAGTACTAGGAGAGCAGCACACAGGGCCGGATCTATCATATATTATGGCTTTTTGGGCTTCAGCCTAGGGCCCCGTGGATTCAAGAGCCTCCTAGTTAAGTGAAGTAAAAAAAAAAAATATTTAACTGTCTAATTGTCTAACTGAGTAATTAGTAGTATTAGCCCAGGGCCCCCTAAGCTCACGGCCCGGCCCTGGCAGCATATGAAAATTAAGATAGTATATGAAGAGTTATCAATGAGACTCACCATTGAGTTTAAACAGCTTAGGTCGTCGCCTCGTAGGGCGCTTCTTAGCGAAGTAGTCCGCCAAGCGTAAGTCAGCGCCTTGATCGCTGGCGGCGGCGCCGGGGCCTCGCACTAGTGCTAAGTTTACACTCTCGATGTCTAGGTATTCGGTTAGAAGAAGTTGGAGCTGAAAAGGAAATACGATTTAAGCTAACATATAAAACTTTGATGTGTTACTTGATGATGAGTCATAAAACTACACTAAAGCATTGTTGACAATATTGTTCATATATGCGGGCTGCGTTCACTTTGATCTGACTGCTGACTACAGAACGCATACAGTGTGGCAAATCCTTTATTAGAGCGATACAAAAATCCGGCTTGAAAGACCATTTCTATCATTACTCACCTTTGAAAAGATTGTAATCTATACTAATATTATAAAGCTGTAGAGTTCATTTGGTTGAACACGCTAATCTCAGGAAATACTTGTCCGATTTGCGAAATTATTTTTGGGCTACATAACATCATCCTACAGCCAATAGGGGCGCAACAGTAAAGAAAAATGTTGCAAAAACGGAAAATATTATTCAAACTATTTTCACGCGTATAATTTCGCGAGCACAGCTAGTGGTTATAATAGACTTACAACTTGTTGCACGGCGCTCCAGTAATGCTGTTCGGTGTGGAGGCACGAGTCGGGTATCCTATGCCTCTGCAGGGCAGCGCGCCACAGCTGTAACAGTCTGAAACAAGATTCATGTTGTTGACATTTACAAGTGAGTAATGTTTAGTTTATAGTATAACCACAGAATAATAATAAGTACTACGTACAGAAGTTTTACTTCGCGAAGGTATTTAAAAAAAATGTATGCTCAATGTCATTAACAATGTGGTGTAATTTAGCCTGTCTCAAGAGTCAAGCACCATTTTGTTGACAAACGTCAGTGATCGGCACTGCGCCGAAGCTATAGGGCTGACTTCGGTAAAGTGATGTGACGTGAGGTGCCAAACTGCGGAAAATGGCGGAGGAAATACATGATTTAGCATGAATTATCATGAATAATATTAACTACTTATTTACCTCTCAGTGTCTTGAGGCAACTTAAAAAAGTACATTCTGTGTTTTTATTATTATTTAGCACTTCAACTGGCATTGGATTCAACATCGGATTCTGACACTTTTACAGTTATGATACCATGAATATCAGTTTATGGTCCTAATTATTTTTATTTTATTTACGACCTTCGACCAGTTGGACACTTTAGATATCTTCTTGTAATAGTGTCAAACTGTCAATATCTTTTTAGCTTTTAACGCAAATCTAGTCTTCAAAGCAGTTTAATCGATTTATTTTATTTTCAAAATCGATATTTTATTGTCTATGATGGCCGCAGGAACATCACTATACATGGACTCCCAGCAATAAAGTACGGTAATGCCTCGTACAGATTTTATCGGCAAAAATAATGGAACTTGATAGGTTTTAGACCATGCCACGCACCAAAACGTCCGGAAGTTGTAATAGTATTATAGAATAAACGTTAAAAGACTTATTTATTTAATTTTTCAATGCTTAAGTGTCCATTAGAATGAAAGGGTGCTTAATGTATTAAAAAAAATAGAAAATAATTATGATGGGTTAATGTTTTTGGGCGGTTTTTTAGGCGGTTTCTGACAATGTCCTTTCATCAAAATCGGTTAAGTGGCGTGAAAGCAAGACAGACAGACAGAGTTACATTCGTATGTATAATATTAGTATAGATATAGATAGTATAGAAGTGTAGATGCCTTTTCCTAAGTAACAAATCTCAAAGTAACCTTTGCAGCCGCTATAAATGCATCTTCTATTCATAAGCTTGGTGAACCTAACGTTTGTATCAGGCTAGCCACCGTTCGTCCCTTCTCTGTCGCACCAGCCGCGTAGGGCGTTACGCCGTCTCCCTCGCACGGCAGGCGTCATCACTTCTAGGAGCTCTTACAAGCTATTAGGGACTTTATGGGTGGTGAAACAAGTCTTAGTTTTCTATATCACTCACCGTCTATTCCTGAGCATAGTGGCGCGGAATTCATGTGCAAGCGTCTGCACCAGGCTAGCCAGCGCTCGCCCCGTCTCTGTCACTCCCGGCGCGTCGGGCGTCACTCCATCTCCCTCGCACGGCAGGCGTCATCACTTCTAGGAGCTCTTGCAGGCTATTAGGCACTTTATGGGTGGTGAAACAAGTCTTAGTTTTCTATATCACTCACCGTCTATTCCTGAGCATAGTCGCGCGGAACTCATGTGCAAGCGTCTGCACCAGGCTAGCCAGCGCTCGCCCTTTCTCTGTCGCACCAGGCGCGTAGGGCGTTACGCCGTCTCCCTCCCACGGCAGGCGTCATCACTTCTAGGAGCTCGTACAGGCTATTAAGGACTTTATGAGTGGTGAAACAAGTCTTAGTTTTCTATATCACTCACCGTCTATTCCTGAGCATAGTGGCACGGAATTCATGTGCAAGCGTCTGCACCAGGCTAGCCAGCGCTCGCCCCGTCTCTGTCACTCCCGGCGCGTCGGGCGTCACTCCATCTCCCTCGCACGGCTCGACGTCATCCAGCGGCAATCCTGCGCCGTACTCGATGATTCGTTCCGATACGCTGCCGATCACTTCGAGGAGCTCGTCTTGGATTTGGACTTTGAATTTCTGGGAACAATGATTTCTATTGATGTTATGTGCGCTGTATAACTAAGCAATGCCTATGTGACCAAGTGGTAAGAAAAATAGTTAATAGCTAAATATTCAAAGAATCTACTGATTGAAACAACAACAAAAAAAATGTTCTAAAGTTCATGCGTCTATTGTGGAGTTGAATGCAATTATAATAATTAAATTAATATAAAAATAATTTTTATCCTATGTAGTTTTTGTTACGTTTTGTGGCAAAAAATTATTCCCGCTAACCCAAAGTTTTAGGTAACTTAATGCTGCAATGGGGGTTGAACACAATAGTTCAGCGGTCGACGAGGAACAAACTAGCGACCTTGAAGGTGGCAGAAGCAGTTTCCATCGAATCGATCTAGAAATTTTTGTGGCAAAATCTATAGCAGATCAAGCAGATAACTGTTGGGAAGCCAACAACGCACGGGAAGAGACGTGCGAGCGACGTACGATGAGTAACGTCACCTCAGGCCGACAGCGTCATCATTGGCTGCGCTCGGCTCACACACACGCCTTCGGGCCGTTTCAGCTCGGAATGACAACTTCTCAAAATGACAACCGGGTCGCAAAATGTCCACTTCTCGAAATGACAACTTCTTATTATGTCAACTTTGCTAAAAGACAACTTCTCATATTGTCTATTTCTCACAATGACAAATTCGCATTTGGTCAACTTCGTATAATGACAACTCTAGAAGAACTAGAACTCTAGAAATAATGAAAATAAAATATCAACAAGTAGTTCACATTATGGGAAGTTGACCAAATGCGAGTTTGTCATAGTGAGAAATAGACATTATGATAAGTTGTCTTTTAGCGAAGTTGACATTTTAAGAAGTTGTCATTTCGAGAAGTGGACATTTTGCAACCCGGTTGTCATTTTGAGAAGTTGTCATTCCGAGCTGAAACGCTTCGGACACCACCGTCGACGCACGATTACCGCGTAGTCCTAGATAATTTCTTGTAATTAGGCTGGCGAAAATTACAGCACCTATTTTTATACAGTCCGCTATTTTATTTACTACTAATATTCGTTAGGACCCTAACATAACAGTGACTGGATTCTTACCTCAGTGGCTTCCTTCAACTGCTCCAATACTCCCAATGCCTCGAGCGAAATCATGACGGTGGTCTCGAAGGTGCGGTCTTCCTCCGACAGTGATGCTTCATACTCGGGTGTAATATCTTGTAGATACGCGTCGGTTACTTCTTCGGTTTTGGTTAGCTCTAGAAAATGTGATAGATATGATACAGTTGCTAGTGCACAAGAATAAATCTTAAGAGCATCTATTTGCAACTACATAGATGTCAGGATATTTAGTCTACCTACAACAACATAAGATGGATGGCGTTAAGAAGACCTTTAAAGTTTTGAAGATTTTTCTCTGGCAAAATACAAAATTTTCTCGCTTTCTGGGACAAGGAAAAACCACTCATTAACGACCGTATTAACAAACGATGGTTGCTTAAGTAAAGCAGAAAATCGAACGCACAGCGATGAATAGATTTTTGATTGGTTCGTGTGTCACCCTGTACGTTCACGCGCAATGTTAGATTTCATAGTATTGCTTGTGTGGCAAAAGTTTTAATCAGACTACCCAGTAGGGATGTGGCACAAGTTCATACAAAAGTCCCTCTTACTTACCAGCTAACAGAAGCGCAGTGCGCCTTCTTGCAGACATCCGCAGTGAGAGCGGCCCGCGGTCGCCGCGGTACACCGCCTCGCTGATGCGACGCACGATTACCTCTACCAGCTCTTGTTTTTTGGCCTGTAAATAATAATAAAAATATAGTTTAACTTTGTGGGTATTTTTTGGATGTGAATAATTTGAACTTGTGTTAATTGTTCCTTTTAGTTAATGGTCACAGAATCTTTGTTCCATCCTAATGTAGCGTATTACGCAGAGCCTTTACACATTAGCGATTTGTTTGCGCCTTACAATCACATAAGACTTGACTTCATCCGGCTCGAAGGACCATTAAATAAATAAATAAATATTCTTGGACTACACTGCGCCTCTAGTCCCAAACTAAGCAAACCTTGTACAAGACATTGGCACCTTCCAATGAAATTAAATGTCATCCGGCTCGAAGGACTAGCGCTGAGGGTCACTGACCTCGAGGTGCTGTCGCGTGGCGTGCAGCGCGGTGACGTGCGCCAGCGTCGTGGCGGCCGTGTCCTGCGCCGCTCGTAGCGTGTGAGCCGCCGCTAGCACGCGGCCCGCCGCTACGAGAGAGCGGCTTTCACGCTCAGACACCACTACGCGCTCACTGTGATAATAATATTCATGTATAAGTTTAGGATTGAGAAAAATAGATGGCACTATCTTAACAATAGCACTGTCGTAAGAGATTTTTCTTGATATTAGCTCCTGTATTCACAAACATTACTATGAGGTCTCTCAGTGCGCGTGGACGTACAGGGTGACACACGAACCAATCACAGAGCTCTATTCAACGCTGTGCGTTTGATTTGCCGCTTCACTTAAGCAAGCATCGTTTGTGAATACAGGCGTAAGAAACACAAACTTAATTACGACAAGACTACTTCGCGATAGTGAAATGAAACCTGTTACTCAATCGAGGGGCAATACCAGAATCATTCATCATAGAAAACATTAGATCTGTATATTTTTTAATCAAGAAGCACTTGGGCTGCATCTCATGTGTGAAGAGTGAAGAACAGTTTGTGATAAATAAGTAAATAAATAAAAATCCTTGGACATTTTACACTACGCAACCTAAGCAATGCTTGTTATTATCATGTTGCATACTTCAGAAACAAAACTCAATAGCATGTACTAATTCAAATGTTGCATTTACTTACATGTCTGTCAACATCTGTAATGCATAGTGATGAGTCCTAGAATCCGCCCACAGTCGCTTCAGATCGTCCCTTCGCAGCTGCAAGAGACCACGGCAGGCGCCCAAACGCGCGACTGCCGCGTCACAGTGCTGCCCCCACACTGTTAGCGCTGCACTGACGCTGCTGAATTTCTGGAAAATATTAGAATGGTGTGAACCTTATGGAGGAGGGGTGTAGGCATAGGGCAGGATAGTAACAAAAATCAAAGCAACTAGCCATGTTAGGATATAGAGAATTTAACTATTCATAAGATGTTTCATTGCGTTGGAGCAGTTCTAGAGGAGTTACTTTTTTCAGTGTCACTAAAATAATTAGAGTAGTAATTAGTAAGAGGAATTTAAGACAAAAACGAACTATGAAGAAGATACGTTTCTATCCATCATTTTATTGTTTCTCTCAATAAATCAATATAAAACAATGGATGGAATGGATTGAAAATAAATAAATAAAATTAATAATGTGAAACTATAAATTGGAAAACATATTGACCAAGACTTTTTTTTTATTAATTCAAACGCAACACTGGCTCATTTCAAGAATATCTTTATTTTCTAGACTAACCTGCATAACGTCCATAATCTCTTGTGCATGCGCAGCGACCAGTTCATCGAGCCGTGCATCACTTTTCTTGTACTCCTTCTCCAACTTCGCCCTCTCTTTCTCGCGCTGTTCGTTTGTCTCACTCGCCGATAGGGTGCGGATCACTGACATCAATAGACCACTCTGCGAAACGGACAATTGAAAATGGTTCATCAAGATAAACATTCTCCCATTTTGTGTTACAGATGCTATGTTACAAGATGCTGTGTTACAAGAAATATGTGCAGTAATTAATGGTAAAGTAAGAGATGTCTCTCATTNAAATATTGTTGAATGTCCTCCAGAAGACAGATTGCAATAGAATAAGGGAAAAAAAAAATTTAATTACCTAATTGGACTAAACTACAAGCAACTTACAAGCTATCGAAATTATTTGAACCTTGCATAAGTACAATTATTTTTTTCGTTTTAGTACAACTGCATTTCAGAATAAAAGCATGTTTATAAAAAAGTTTTTTAATTATATTATTATAATTTTATTTTACACTTTTTAGTAGTATCTCAATCTCAGAGCCTTGGTTCAATTACAATACAATTTAGCACCAAAGTGCTCGAAAAGACATACCCAGCAAACCCAAACTCGATAAGTTTCCACCGTTTCGTTTAGGAATTCCTATGGCCACCTCCTGACTCCATCATCAGGACCCTGGACATCATCTAGTACTAAAGTGCTCGAATAGACAAATCCAACGATCCCAAATTCGATACGATGCCGCCGTTTCATTTAGGAGTTCCTATGGCCACCTCAGCCCCCTCATAACATTGCATTGTCATCGTACTTACATAAGTATACCAAATTTCAGCTCAATCGGATGAGGAAAATTCAGTTGCAAGAGTAACAGTTGTCCCACACATACCTACTAACAAGATAAGTGTCATTATAGTGATCTGGTTACAAAAACTGTTGTTTTGGGTTTTGGAAGTTCTGGAAGCCCGAACGTAGTACTTGTCAGAACGCGTTTTTCTAGCGTTTTTCAGCGTACCTGCTGTATCTTTTTGGTAAATAGTAGGTACTGGATTAACGATTAACGGACTTAGGATAATTTAACGGAAGTTAACGAGTCCGTTAACATTTTTTAAAGTTAACTTAAAAGTTAATCCGTTAATAGAAATGTTAACTTCGTTAATTAACGTTTAACGGATTAACGAGTTAATGCCCAGCTATGCTTGAAAGATATCAGGCATTCAATCTGAAACTCTTTCTATTGAAAGTTTCACTTGGATTTCTACCTGGAAACTACATCATTATGCACATGCTAATTAACGTACATTTTAGTTGGAACAAATTGTTAAATAAAACTAGTTCGTAAACTAGGTAATCAAATAATTTAGAAAAGTTAGTGACCAATAGATTCCATATAAAGTTGACAAACATGGATATAACTTACCGTTTCTTTTCCCTGTTTCACCCCGCGAGGAGGTTTTGTTGGTGGTGGTGAAGACATCTCGCTATCAGGAATAATTTTGGAAAAATTATTAAAAACTCCGCCCCTAAAAATTATCACCAACTTTTCACAAAATCAGAAACACAAATTGTAGGGATGTGCAAAGTACAGTTTTCGCCCTAGTTATCGATTTGATAAATTCATTGTCGAGAACTTTAATAATGAAAAAAGTTTCTCAGATCGTTATATTCGCTATAATAAATAGAACTTTGTTGTAACATCTTGTTTTTGTTGTAATGGTTGCACCCGCTTTCGTAGTAGGTAGGTTTCTTTTTAGTTCATAGATAAGAATATTTTAGTCTCCTGTGGGTTAGAATCTAACTTTAACCGTTAGATGAATCTGGTCACACCATGCAGTATTTAGTCGATTATGCACAAATGCATGCTTAAAACTGGAATACATATTTATCATTTAATTTTGTTGAAATCGATTTCTAGTTGAAATCGATTTCGACAAATGAGTGATTTACGCACATCTCTAAAGCTGTCGCTGTCAAATAAATTTGATGTTTTGTTTTTTACATAGCAAAGAAAATAAATTAGTCACTCACAACTAATTAAAAATGTATTGATTTGATATCGTACAAAATCATTAAATTAATAAGTGTAATCATAATAAATACAAAATTCAAAAAAGTCCANCTAGCACGCGACCCGCCGCTACGAGAGAGCGGCTTTCACGCTCCGATACCACGACGCGTTCGCTGTTGCAACATAGTAACAACATGTGTAAGTTTAGGTTTGGACCGATAGATGGCACTGTCTCATTTTGGATCACAGCATCGTAAGATTTTTTTTTATACAAAGGAACACGATTATAAATAAAAAAAACCAATGACAAGATAATTTCATCATTATTTCAGCCACGGGAAGTCTATCACTTCGTGATAATGAAAACCATTACTCAAAATTAAAAGGCAGGTCCAGATAAACATCATTCACATTGACAAGAATTAGATTTGTCATAGAATTGTATTTTTAACTAAAAAGCTCTACATTTCACCCATTTGGAAAGTGAAGAACACAGGTTGTGTCAGATAAGATATTATCATCATGTTGCTAACTTTTATCAGATACACATAACCATGAACAGTATTAAACTCAACTCCATAACTTCAACTTACATGTCAGTCAACATCTGCAATGCATAGTGATGAGTCCTAGAATCCGCCCACAGTCGCTTCAGATCGTCCCTTCGCAGCTGCAAGAGACCACGGCAGGCGCCCAAGCGGGCTACCGCCGCGTCACAGTGTTGTCCCCACACTGTAAGCGCTGCACTGACGCTGCTGAATTTCTGGAAAATATTTAGAGTGGTGTGAACCTTAAGCTTATGACCGCAGTCTGTGGAGGAACAGTATCTGTGGTCGCGATCCTCATCAGAGAAGAACCTTAAGAAGAATCAGAATCATCATTTATTGGCTTTAAATCAGTGGTTCTTAACCGGCAGTCGCGGACCACTGGTGGTCCCTGAAGGCATTCCAAGTGGTCCACGACGTGCACTTGCACACCTTGGTCCAAACCACTTTTAACTGATTTTTGCAGACAAACTGGTTTTGACCGATTATGAGGTGGTCCCTGACAAGACAGAAATTTGGTAAAATGGTCTCTCATGACTTAAAGGTTAAGAACCACTGCTTTAAATGAATGGAGCAGGGGTGTAGACACAGGATAGTATAGTAGCTAAAGCAACAGGTATAACAATCAAAGCAACTGGCGATGTTAAGATTTTGAGAATTTAATGATTGATAAGCATTAGAGTGGTTCTTCAGTCTTTAGTAGCAGTGGAACTTTTGTCAGTGTCACATAAATAATTAGAGTAAGAGGATTTTATGAGAAAATCTCAATTACAATTTACAAATAATAATAATAAGACAGTTTCTATTCATTATTTAGTTCTCTCAATACCATAAAATGGACAATGTATTGACTAAGACTTTTTTATTAATTAAAACGCAACACTGGCTCATTTCAAGAATATCTTTATTTTCTAGACTAACCTGCATAACGTCCATAATCTCTTGTGCATGCGCAGCGACCAGTTCATCGAGCCGTGCATCACTTTTCTTGTACTCCTTCTCCAACTTCGCCCTCTCTTTCTCGCGCTGTTCGTTTGTCTCACTCGCCGATAGGGTGCGGATCACTGACATCAATAGACCACTCTGCAAAACAGATAATTAAACTATAGCTCATAAAGACAAACATTCTCTCATTTTGTTACAGGTGTTATGTTACAAGATGCTGTGTTACAAGAAATATGTGCAGTAATTAGTGGTAAAGTAAGAGAGGTCTCTCATATAAGTTTCTAATTGGACTAAACTACGAGAAGCTAGAAGATACACTTGATATAATAGTGTTTAGAAGATAATTTAATATCAATTTTAAGGAAGAAAGGATGTGCAGAATCCGTATCAATTTTTTTTCTGCTTGAAAGCTTAGATTAAGGCTTTATTAATCTATGCTTGAAAGATCTCAGGCATTCATTCTGAAACTCTTTCTATTGAAAGTTTCACTTGGATTTCTACCTGGAAACTACATCATTATGCACATGCTAATTAACGTACATTTTAGTTGGAACAAATTGTTAAATAAAACTAGTTCGTAAAATAAGTAACCAATTAATTTAGAAAAGTTAGTGACCATGTAAAGTTGACAAACATTGATTATAAACGTACCGTTTCTTTTCCCTGTTTTACCCCGCGAGGAGGTTTTGTTGGTGGTGGTGAAGACATCTCGTTATCAGGAATAATTTTGGAAAAATTATTAAAAACTCCGCCCCTAAAAATTATCACCAACTTTTCACAAAATCAGAAACACAAATTGTAGGGATGTGCAAAGTACAGTTTTCGTCTTAGTTATCGATTTGATAAATTCATTGTCGAGAACTTTAATAATGTATAAAGTTTCGCAGATTGTTATACCTATTCGCTATAATAAATAGAAATTTGATGTAACATCTTTTTCTTGTTGTAATGGTTGCGCCCGGTAGATGAATCCTGGTCACACCAAAAAAAAAAAAAATTAATTTTGTTGAAATCGATTTCTAGTTGTAATCGATTTCGACAAATGAGTGATTTACGCACATCTCTAAAGCTGTCGCTGTCAAATAAATTTGATGTTTTGTTTTTTACATAGCAAAGATAATAAATCAGTCACTCACAACTAATTAATAATGTATTGATTTGATATCGTACAAAATCATTGAATTAATTAGTGTAATCATAATAAATACAAAATTCAAAAAAGTCAGATCAATTTACAATCTCATCATAAGTTTTTCAATTTTATAAAATCGGACAAGACAAAAAAAAGTAAAGTGTCACTGGTCGACAGTTGAAAACAAATTTTTGAAACGGGATTTTGTTGGATTTCTTTGTATAATTTATATATTTTCTAATATCTCCTCATCGCAATAATTTGTAAGTAAGTAATAGTGAGTGAAGTTAATTAGTTATGGATTACTCAACAATTAGCAATAAGACCAACTGTACCGAAGCTGAGGACATAACCAATGGCGAGCTCAGCGAGCGATACTATTTGCTCAAAAAGCAATACGATAACTTATCCAGCTCGTATGAGAGCATAAAACAGGAGTTACACGACACCAGACGATGCTATCAGACCGCTTTAGATGTACAGAGTCACTTGAATGCGGAGTTGGAGGGTTACCAAGCGGATGAAGGGCGGAGAAAGAATGAGGTGAATGCTCGCATTTCCTCGCTGCAGGAAGAGATTGCGTCGCTTCGGGAGCAGAGGACAGAGTTGGTAGACGTTCACACGAACGAGGTGAAGAAGTTTGAGGCGGAGATTCGTCGGTTGAAAGAGGAGCGAGCGTGCGTTGAACGGGCGAGTCCCGTGCGTGATACAGCGGAGTTGGACGAGGCGCGTGCTGCGGCGTCGTCTGCTCTTTCGGATGCAGCAGCGGCTAAGATGGCGTTAGAGGAGGCAAGAGCGGAGGTTGTGTCGTGGAGGATGAAGGCCGAGGAGCTGTTAAATGAGATGGGAGAGGTGCGGGCGGCCGCTGAGTTGAGGAGAGAGGAGTTAAGAGCTGCAGGGGAGAGAGAGGCGGCGGTTCTGGCGGACTTGGCTGAGGCCCGGGCCTTGCTGCACCAGTGCACTGACTCACAGGACTTACAGCCTCATGGTAATGATTCAACATCTATTTGAAACTATTATTCTTCATAATGTGCTTGTTAGATACTTAAATACATCCATTTCTGTGTCTAAATCATTATTTAGACTTATTTACTGACTACTTGGCCTTCTTAATTAGCCTACATTAACTATCTTACAATAAAAGCAATCAGTTCTATGTATGTATTTAACTTTTCTTTTTTGTGTTTCAGCCGCAAAAGGAAATTCAATATTTGCTGAAGTTGAAGATAAAAGACAAGAAATGGCCAAAAACCTCATTCAAATGAAGCAGACTAATTCTAGAGTAAGTTTAATCTTTTACTTATGTCCGGTAACTCCATTGGCAAATCTTAAAAGATAGTATTTAGCCTCTTTTCTTTTCAGAGTTTGCCTTTTATGTTTTCAATCAATGTTACTGTCTATAATCCTATGTAAACTTCTGTTGTAATTACTCCTTCTTAAAACATTTATTAACTGAACCAAACATTTGTTATTCCAGTTGAGGAGAGAATTGGCAAACAAGCAAACGGAAGTGGATGCGTTACTGCTTGAGAAGCAAACCATCTGGGAGCAGCAAGCCGGCGCCGCAGCACATTACGACAGGGAGCTCATTGGTGAGACACAAGTCATTACTTTGATTATTACTGCCAATATCTTTTACAATATGCAGTTTTACAATACCATTATTTTGGACTTTAGTCATAAGACACCCTGCAGACTGCAGATTTAGAGTAGGCGCACACCGTTGTTTTTTCGTCGGCCGATAGTTTAGTCGGGCAGTTGATCAGTATGGGCATGTATGGGAGTGCGCACACTACGCCGATTCGATTTGGCCGATTCTTCATACAATTTAAAATCGGGCACAACTATCGGCTAACTAAAACTCAACGGTGTGCACCTACTCTTAGTTTGCCGGCTGATACCAAAACAGCATAGTGTGTGCATTGCCATAAATGTTAAGGATTAAAAACCAAACTATAGGCTGACAAAATGTTTGTAGTCTACGGGTCAAAGCTGATAAAACTAAGACTACAATTTAATTATTTTGAACTTTTCCTTTTGTGTTTCAGAAAGTTATGAAGACCGTATCACACAGCTAGAAGGTCTCTGTGAGAGGCAAAGGAGAGAGTTGGCTCGGTGGTTCGGCAAGCTGTGTGAATCAAACGCCCAGGGCTGGCTGCCAGGAGTGCTTGATCACTTGAAGTAAGTTATTTTTAACACTTAAGGACTCGCGCCTTAATTTGTAACATTCATACTCGCTACCGGGTGCGCTGAACCCAGTATATAAAATCCTATGTATTTTTCAAAAACACTTAATAAAAGTGAAAACTACTTTATTAGAAGGATAATATGATATAAAACAAAGACAATTAGTAAACCAAATAATAATATTTATTGACTTTTTCTAAAATAACAACTTATTTAAGAAATTGAAGGTTTTTTGGTAAAATGAAGGTTATTTTTGAAAATTTCTGTATTTAATTATTTAAAATAANCGCGTGCTGCGGCGTCGTCTGCTCTTTCGGATGCTGCAGCGGCGAAGATGGCGTTAGAGGAGGCAAGAGCGGAGGTTGTGTCGTGGAGGATGAAGGCTGAGGAGCTGTTGAATGAGATGGGAGAGGTGCGAGCGGCCGCCGAATTGAGGAGAGAGGAGTTAAGAGCTGCAGGGGAGAGAGAGGCGGCGGTTCTGGCGGACTTGGCCGAGGCCCGGGCCTTGCTGCACCAGTGCACTGACTCACAGGACTTACAGCCTCATGGTAATTATTCATACATCTATTTTACACTAATTTACTTCATAATGTGCTTGTGAGGTACTTAAATACATCCATTTCTGTGTCCAAATCATTAATTAGACTTGTTTACTGACTGCTTGGTCTTCTTAATTAGCCTTCTAGCCTACAATAAAAGCAATTAGTTCTTCGTATGTTTACTTACTTTTGTTTTTTGTGTTTCAGCTGCAAAAGGAAATTCAATATTTGCTGAAGTTGAAGATAAAAGACAAGAAATGGCCAAAAACCTCATTCAAATGAAGCAGACTAATTCCAGGGCAAGTTATAATCTTTTATAATGTTTGAAAACTGCTTTGTTAAAATACTTTCTTGAGCCCCTTTCTCTCTTTTCAGTGTCTAATGCCTTTTATGTTTTCAATCAGTGTTCTGTCTTTTAATCTTATTTTAAAATATTAAATAACTGACCAAACATTTGTAATTCCAGTTAAGGAGAGAATTGGCAAACAAGCAAACGGAAGTGGATGCGTTACTGCTTGAGAAGCAAACCATCTGGGAGCAGCAAGCTGGCGCCGCTGCACATTACGACAGAGAGCTCATTGGTGAGACACTAATCATTTGTTTATAACTGCCAATATCTTCTCCTTGTTTATTTGGTGGTACAGACATGTTTATGGTAAATATACTGCCAATACCAGTTCATAATTTGCAGTTTTAAGTCCTACAGGACTTTACTCAAAATGAAACAGGGGCATTTAGGGGTGTTTTCTATGTATTTACAAAAAAAAAGTATTTAAGTATGTTTATATCCGTTGTCTAGTACCCATAGTACAAGCTTTGCTTAGTTTGGGACTAGAAGCACAGTGTAAAATGTCCAAGGATATTTATTTATTTATAAAGAAAATGCTGCTTTCCTGTTATGACTATCACAGGAAAATGTCTCTATTTTTTAACAGACTTTAAACAAAAGGTTTCTACCTAATAAATTCAATTAATTAAAGCCTGCATACTAATAATGAATTTGAATTTATATTTAAACTTTTGAGGTCCTATTTGTAATATGATTTATTTTGGTGTTTCAGAAAGTTATGAAGATCGTATCACACAGCTAGAAGGTCTTTGTGAGAGGCAAAGGAGAGAACTGGCTCGGTGGTTCGGCAAGCTTTGTGAATCAAACGCCCAGGGCTGGCTGCCAGGAGTGCTTGATCACTTGAAGTAAGTTGAAGTCATTAAAGTATCATGGAAAATAATTACAAGTTTTTGCTGCTGTATCTTTCTTTATGCTAACCAAAATTACCAAAAAATATTTTTTTTTCCTGACCAGCAAGCGGCTGTTTTGTTATTTAACTGAATTTTCTGCTGTCATTCTCGGGCTGATAAGATTGTAACCAATTTAAGGATTGTTTCAAAAATGTCACCTTAAACCATCTGAACTATATCATTGTAAGGTTAAAATTCGTCCAGTTCTTTTTGGAGGCATTTTGTTTTTTTGGAACTATTTATGTCACTGTGGTCAGCTTCACATGCTGTCTGAGCAATCTTCTGATAAAATTGAATGCAACTTCAGATCCGAATGCGAGCAACTGCGCGCCGAAGTGCTATCTCTCGGCGCCGCTCAGCTGGCCAGCTCCGCACAAGTCCGCGAGTTACGCCGGAAACTGGCGCGCGCCGCCGCCCCCGCCGCCGCCGGCTCGCCCGCCGGAAAACCGCCACATGTAGTTGAGAAAGACTCATTGCCCAGAGCGTTACAAGTGCGGAGCAGGCCGTCGCCCGATGACGTTAAGAAGAAAGTGTCGTTTAATTAAAGTTTAAAGTAAGTTGAAAGTGCCTTCTGTTTATTAATAACACTGCTGTGGTGCCTTTAGATAAATAAAGTTATCACCTGATCATGTGAAGGAGATACTAATGTTAAAATGTAGGCAACTGGTTTCTAAATCAAGGTTTTGTAAGATTTTATAGCAAATTCTAATTGATTTGAATTTTCGATTCTCCATTAGGGATTCCTTTAAAACCATGTAAGTTTAGAATAGCTGGTTCTATACAGTCTAGGTGTTATTATAAGTATTTCACGTTAAATATTTTTTTACAAGTGGTTTACGTAAAGAAAATTATTATTTTTGATAGCGAAATAAGTGCCTAAAGACTAAGCTGTAAATAATAAAAATCAAAATATAATATTAATACACAACATGAGTTTTTTATTTATTTATTGCTGTTATCTAATACAATACATACTTTATGTATTATTTTCGAAAACATTTCTATTGCTTTAAGGAAATGAATAATTTATATTGGGACATAAGCAATTTGGTATGCATTAGGCCATTAAATAAATGGGTTTTAAAAATAAGTATAAAAAATATACAATGCTTTACATAATATTGATGACATAATCTGTCATCATGACATTTAAAGCTATAAAAACTTTGGAATCTTGGTTATAGTATTATTCCTGGTGTATGAAGCTGCCCCCTCTGGAAATTGTAAGCCCTTGCAACTACATTAGGTTGGCTTATGTTTCGTTCCTGCCTATTTTGCCCCTTCGTGGGCCAGACTGTTGCCCCCTGGCCCATAAGCTGGATACGCCATGGTGGCAGTCAAGGCACCGTGCCTTCTCGAGGCGGTGCGAGGTCCTTGAGCGCGTGCTCGCGAGCGTGGGCCACGTGGCGTTCGCGGCGAGCGTGCTCGCGAGCTTCCTTCTGGGTGCGCGCGCGCAGACGTGTAGTTGCTGCGTCTTGCACGCATTTTGTGAATGCTCCTGGAAATTTTAATGTTAGAAAAATATTTATAGTAGAAGGATGACGTCAGGGACTCTGAAATTGTATAAAATAATAAGTAAATAAAAAAGTAATTTAGATTAAAATCTTGAAATTATAGGGTTCTAAGATACTATGAGTTTTTCTGTGAGAACTTTAGTGGGAAGCACGTAAATGTAGGCAGCTTAGGACCGGTCATTGTGGAAATCCTTACCTTTGTCCAACACATTTGTATAGAACTCTAACAAGTGCGCTTCGCTGACAAATCGCTGAGCAATTGACATTATTGTAATGGTGCGTCCAGACTGGGCGAACGGGCTCGCGCGGCAAACTCGACATCCTGCTCACTCTGCAGAGTGAGCAGAATGACCAGCGGTGCCGCGCGAGCCCGTTCGACCAGTGTGGACGCACTGATTAGTGCCTTTTCACACGTCCCGGTTGCCGGCTAACCGGCGCCGGGTACCCGGTCGTGAATGTATGGGCATGCCGGATTAATTACGCCGGAACATGTGAACATCACCACCGGATACCCGGCGCCGGTTAGCCGGCAACCGGGAAACGGTTTGTGGGAACAGTTGGATGAGCGTCTCATCCCACTTTTAAAAAGGATTGACCGTATGACTCACACATTCGTTAGCAGTTATGATTTTCAACCTGCTGAGGAGGAAGTTTCTAGGGTCTCTGGTTTGGCTGGGAATGAGCCATTAATAGTCAAACCTGTGAATTGTAATGCGTGTGTTCACTCTTTGAATTTGAGGTTTAACGGGAAAGACAGTGTTCAGGATTTTGTTGTGCGTATTGAGGAGTTGTGTCTGTCTCGGAATATTTCGAGGGAGAAATTATTTAACTCGGCAGTTGAATTATTTACAGATGAGGCCTTATATTGGTACCGAGGTACTCGTGACCAACTAAATAGTTGGGAGGATTTAAAGGCGTCGTTGCTTGAAGAGTATTTACCCTACGATTATGATCATCGTTTGTTGCAGGAGATTCGTTCAAGGACCCAAGGTCCTGACGAATCCATATGTAGTTATCTAAGCCTGATGCAAAATTACTTTTCGAGGTTGCGTAAACCTTTAGACGAGGAAGAGAAGTTGAGCTTAATCAAGTTCAACATTAGGCCATCTTACTCCATTCCTTTGGTCAATGTAGAAATAAAATCGTGGGCCGACTTGAAGAGGCATTGTAGGCAGTTAGAAGCGGCGAGACAGAGGGCAGAATCCTTCACCGAACCCCCGCGCAGTGTACCGAATACTGTCGCCCCTGACCTGGCCTACAAAAGTAAGTCTGCTCGTCCAAAGTGTGAGGCTGTGGTTAAAAGTCCGAGCATGGAGAAGTTTTGCGTGCGTTGCCGTGTGAAGGACCACACGCTCCGTGATTGTAAGGCGCCTCATGTTATTATTTGTTATCGTTGTGGTGAGAAGGGCGTGACCGCTGTCAATTGTCCGAAGTGTGCACGCCAGAAGGACGTCAAAGTCTCTGGAGTCACAAAACGCGTGGCGACGGACCGTCGTTTTGATGTTACACCTGTTGAAGAGTGGCGCGCTTGGTGTGATTTTGTGCGTGCATTCTCAAAAAATTGCAAAGCTAATGTTGCGACGGTCCGACCAGATGATTGTCAGGACGCACGTCCTTATTTGAATGTTAAGATTGGTGGTGTTCCGTGTTCTGGATTACTAGATTCTGGAGCGGAAGTTTCTATTCTTGGTGGTTCTGCTGTGAATTGTTTTTCTCATCTGGGTGAGTTGTATAAGTCGGATTCGACTGATGCTGTGGTAACGGCGAATGGTTCAACTTCCCCTACAGTTGGATATATGTTTTTACCTGTCGTAGTGAATGATGTGTTAAAGGTTATAAAGTTTTATGTTGTTCCTGGAGTTTCGTCGTCTTTGTTGTTTGGCATCAACTTCTGGAAAGCTTTCCAGATAGCGCCTGATGTTTTGAGACTTGTGAATCGGAGGGATTCGATTGTTAGGCATGCTGAGGCAGTCGAGTCTCAGAGGTTGACTGGTGACGTTGGTAAGGATTTCAAACATCCGAATCAAACCACTCCTGGTTTGTTTGGAAAACCGAAGGTTCGTCGTAGACCCTTCCAGTGTGTCAGCGTCGGTTTTGTTGGTTCACTGCCCAGGTCTCGACGGCAAGTGTTTGAAGTAGATAAGCAATGGACAACACGCATAAGTTGTAATATTAAGTTAAATTATGACTTAATTTAAAGTTTAGATCACACACATTACACTAGTTTTTATTTCACCTCAATCCATCCAGTATTACCGAAGATAGAGCCTCGAGAAGTTTACGGACTTTTTAAAATTTTCAAAAATTTCCAATATTCGCGCGTGACGTCACAACATGATTTTGCAGCCCCCGCATGTTAACCCATTTACCACTTTTTGTCTTTTTCCAACTAAAATAAAATTTTACCTAACTGACAACTGTTGTTAGTTGTCATCGTTCAATTCCCGAAATCCCCGCTTCGGCTCCCCTACTAACCATTCTAACCATTGTACACAGATAATATCTTACATGCAGCTTTTCATGTTACTACGTCACATTTTCAAAATCCGCGCGGAAAATCGCTCCTAGCGGAAGAGCGCACTTTGAGCTTGAATATTTCAGTCATTTTTAAAGATATCAAAAAAGTAAAAATACAGTATTCATTCTAATTTTTTGTAGTTTTTTTTGGCATCTTCAACAAAAATTGTGCGCCATGTCCATTGAGGAAATCTCACTTGCGAGATGCTGATTGTTGTGATAGGCGTCTGAGGGACGTAGTGGTTAAAAGAGATGATGTTGTTTGGCGGAGTACGCATGTTCGTAGCGTAGCTCCGAGATTCAAAAATTATGTAGGGTAGATTGAAGTTTTGTTGAGGTGTTAGTTTTTTTATTGTTGTGTATTGTGAGTTCTCATATCGAAATTATTCAATAAGAGCCTAGTTAAAACAAGTAGCATTTATTGAAAGTAAAGATAAAAATTATACAAAACTGCTTGATATTGTGATTTGCTGGAGTGACAAGTTTTTGAACGAAGATCTGAGTCACGGGTGATGACCGGCGCCTTTTGGAGTGCCCTTTGCTCTGCTGGCCGCGGTCGTGAACAGAAGTTTTGTAGTGTGTGTTGTGGCATTCTGAGTCGGCCCTAAATGTGCCCTTTCCCAACTCAAACGGGCAGGGCACGCATTATTATTGTGGTCGAAATAAGGGAATTCCGGTTGGACACCGAAATCCCGCTGTTCGCCGATTTTATGGACTCACTGCCACGTGCTGAGTTCTGTTACTGAAGATTGTGTGTGGTTGGGCAGTGCTCGGTGGCGAGCCTCTGCGCTGTCTGCTGTTGCTGTCTGTTGTTGCTGATGTTGCCTCCATAGCAGGAGGTGTATGGTACCGGCTGTCCTGTTTGGCACCGGCTATAAGGTGTTTGGCACCGGCTGTCCCGCAGTGCCAGACGCTTGCTGCGCCCGACGGGTGCGGAGGGGGTTGAGCCGAGTGGTGGTGACTAGCGCGCTAATCCCGTATTATTAAGTATTTTTAATCCATACCAACCAAACGGCCCAACGACCCATCCCTTTTTTTTTCTTTTTAAATTTTTTGTGTCTCACCCACAATAAATTGTTATCAATTTAAATAATTATTTTTATTTTGCTCCGGCAAATTTTCTTATTTACATGGCATAAATCCAAACGTTCCCGGGACGTGTGAAAAGGCACTTAGAGTGACAAGGCTCATATCTCACCGACGGTGTCCCAGCAGCGAATGATATCGGACGGCCGCTCAGCAGCGATGTAGCAGTCGATCACCTGCTCCTTGCACTCCTCGCACACCGGCTCAGGGCTCACCATGTTCGCTGTGCGCAGTTCTATGCGCGCGGCTGTGGCGTTTATGTCTTCTACGGTTATCCTGGGACAGATATAAATATTGGATTGTAATTTGGAAAAGCTCAAAACTCATTCCAAACTCAGTTCAAATAATAGCCACGTGATTCCGATAGAATATTAATAGGTGTTACTTCGATAGTGAGTGTAGTGGAAGTTTATAAATGAAAAGAGTGGACTGTATGAAATTAATTATCTATTCGGCATAAATTTACAAGGTTATCGAGACCGTTTTGTGCAAAATCGTTGAAGACAGTGCGTCAGGATCGTCTTCTTAGATGTTCGCTCGCGAACCGAACATTGCTCGTTCGTTCGCCGAACGCTCGCCGCTCCCTCCGGTCACGCCGCCCGCGGGCAATGTCCGTGAGTAGACAATAGGACTACCCCATCTTCTCGAGGATCTCTTAAGGGATATTATGCGAACTTTGGGCATGTTTGGCTAGCGCAAGGAGTGTAGGTAATAAATCATCATCATCATCATCATTTCAGCCACAGGACGTCCACTGCTGAACATAGG